AGGGCAGGAGTGGTGCGGGTGGGGAGTAGGCAAGGGGGTTGTGGGCCTCGTGGACAGAGGCCTCTGCAAACAGAACCCCTCAAGGACCCCTCCCAGCCCCACCCAGCTTTAAACCCCACAGTGTGCACAGTTTGCCTCCAGAGGCCCCTCAATGACCCCAATCCAATCTCCCCCCACCCCACACCCACTTGCCAGCAATGGCTGAAGGCAGGAAGATAAGCAGACTCCTTGAACCACATCAACTCGGGGGGGAAATTCCATCGCCCCCTTTGAGGTTGCAGTGAGCACTGTAAACTGGGCTGGGGTGAGGGTGGGACGTGGGGGCAGGGAGGGGTGGCCAGATAAGAGGGCCTCGCGGCCTGCGCCCCAGACCCCAGGGGAGGGCCACACACAGCCAGCCCCATCGCCTTGCTGACGGGGATTTCCTGGTGGAGACCAAAGGGGCGATGCAAGTAGGGTGCAGCGCAGAGCTAAGGAGCTGGGCTAGCACGTGCCTGGGGCACCCCCGCTCTGCCTCCTGCCTGCAGTCCAGGCTCCTGAGGCCAAGCCGTCTCTCACCTGCAGCTCCCCGCAGCCCAGTGGCTCTCACTTCCCCTTCCTGTTCTCTGTGCCTCCCCTCTACACCCCCTCCCCCGTTTCCTCCTCCCGGAGTGGAAGCAACTCAGCTCAGTCGGGGCTCCCAGGTGGGCTGGGTGATGAGGGGTGAGCCCAGCTTGGTCACTGGGGCAGTGAGAGGGCAGGGAACCCAGCAGTGAAACGGGCCTACAGAGGAAGGCATGTTCACCAGGCCGGCGTGTGTGTGTGTGTGTGTGTGTGTGTGTGTGTGTGTGTTTCCCTGGCTGCCCCAGCAGGCAGCCCAAGCCATGTCTGCTGACAGAGCTGTGGGCACTGTCCTCCAGGGGAAGCCCAGGACTGGGCTCCCAGGTCCACAAGAATAGGGTTGTGAGTGTGTGTGTGGGGGGACTTCAGGCAGCAGTGCACAAGGCCTGGTGAATCTGGGCATCTTTTACGGGATTCTGGAATGTGCCCATAGCAGCGCAGACAGCTCTGTGGCATGGGAGTTAGGCCAGGCTGCAAAGCCCCGGGGGACAGGCTGGCATCAGGCTGGCATCAGGCTGGCCATGGAGCTGTCTCCCCCAGTGCAGGGGCAGGTGCATAGCTGAAAGCCTGATTCCCTGAAAGTGCATGCCCAGGCAGAGGCTGCACTGGGTTTTTGGGCATACAGCTGTGCATACACTGGGACCTCCCCGTGCCCCTCTCTGAAACTGGGATGTGTGGGGGGGAGGTTTGCACCTGTTCTGTCACCCTTGGGCCCCTGCAAGGCAGGCCTGGCAACCCAGCTGGGGAGGGTAGCAATGGTGGCAGGAACAGGACAGGTTTTCCGGCTACTTGGCTAAGGACTTGAAGCTGCCAATGAATGGTAATGAACTCTGGTAGCCAGCACTGAACCAGCCTTAGAGTCTGCAGGGTGATCCCCACTGACTCACAGCTCGGAAGGCCCATCCCTACCCCCACCTCCCACCTCAGTTCTGAGCAACTAGGCTAGCCCACGGCCTTCCCTGCCTTGGCGCAGCTGGCCTGAGGTTGAGGTCCGAGAACTGTCCATTTTCACCAGGCCCGCCCCTAGATCTGTATGAACCAAGCTTGAGCCTGCACCTTGCAGGCCCCGGATCACAGCGGCCGGGAGACCTGGGGGAATGATGGCCACACCTGCAGCCCTGGTGCCTTCTCTCGGCTCCCTGGAGGGTGCTGTTGTGGGGTCAGTGTGTTAAGGTTGCCCCCTCACTGTCCCTGGTGAGCCCTGGCTCTCCTCCCTGGCCTTCCTTCAAGAATTCCTTCCTTCTGGTTAGGGCCTGCTGGTCTGGTGCCCATTTTCTTCGTTTCATGGTCCCAGCCGTGAGCCCTGGCACTGGTGGCAGGGTGAGAGTGGGAGGATGGCTCTGGTGTGCTCTACCTGCTTGTACACATCTTCGCTCGCCTACAGAGGCCTGACTTCCCAGGCTGAGGGTGCAGAGAAAGCCTGGGGATCCCTGGACCTGCAGTTGGGCCCCGGCGTCTCCAGGAATCGTCCTCTCTCTGACCTGGAACACCTGTGGGAGATGGTGCTGCAGGTGAGCAGCTTAGCTGGAGCCTGCATCGTCCCTGTGGAAGATTCCATCTGCCTCCTAGGGAAAGTGTCTCCATGAGAAGCTGCACCTGGCGGGTGGGGGGCAGGTGCCTGTCACACAGCATCTCCAGAGCCAGGCAGGGCACTAGCAGCCCACCCCTGGGGCACTAGCCCTCTAGATCTGTCACTGACGCTGCCCTTGGGCACCTCTGGCTGCTGTTCTCTCTTACATGATGTCACCCCACCTGCACAACTCTGCTGTTGCCGGACTGCAGGGACCGACAGAGGCTCAGTGTAAGAGTCCTTGCCAAGATGTGGGACCTGGGACCTGAGATCCTCCCTCCTCTTCCTCTGGTGCAGAGTGTGGGTGCTGACCACTCTCCTCCTGCCCCAACAGTTCAGCCTGTTCTCACGGCGTGGTGCACTGGCCCTCAGGGTGCCCATGCCACCTGCGAGCTGCTGACAACCGCAGCTGCTCGAGCTGGAGGCAAGGCCAGGCCATGGACTGTGTTCACAGGCCCAGCCTCAAGCTTGGCAGAGCCCTTGCCCACCCAAGCACCTGAGAACCTCGTTTTACACGTTTCCTAAGGTGCTCAGCATTTGTTGCTATCTTGCAGCCTTCCAGGGAAGATCCACCTGCCTCCCACACTCCAGCATGGCCCCTGGTCACACAGCAAAGTCAAGTGACAGGATTTGGGGTCTATCGAATGAGACGTCCACAGAGCCTCTTTTCCAATAAGGTGCAATGGGAATTCATTTGGCTCTAGGCATCGCCATAGCAACAGCCAGGGACCACAGGAGTGAGCGAGTGATGCAGCAGAGGAGTCCTTGAAGGGTCTTGGCTAACAGGTGCAAAGCGCTGACCCACCCCTAGGGGGAGGGGGCTGGGATCCTGGGATCAGGGTTCAAGGGGCCCATGCTGCTTCCAGGACTGGGACACACTTAGTAGCTGCCCGGGGTCTCACAGAATGGCAGCCTCATCCCTGACATTCAGGGGGATGCTAACAGGACATGCATGCCACGAGGTGTGTGTGCACTGTGGCTGCAAACGCCGGGGCCTCAGCCCACTGGGTACCTATCCAGAACACACAGGCACCACACTCACCATGTGGGCCAGGAACTCTGAGTCTGTTTAGAGAGAGTGGACACGGATGCTACCCCTGTGCAAGAGAGGCTGTCAAGGAAGGCTGTGGACACGGTCGAGGGTGCAGAGTGCCACTCATGTGACCAGGAGACCATGCCCATTGAACTTCCTGACCCAGAGCCAGAGAAGTCAAGGTTTGGGAGGCAGGTGATTTGCAACTCCCAAACGCGGATGAGCTTTGGTCACCACCTTTCTTCCTTCCAAAGCCCTTGCTGGTCCTTTGGGTGCCTCTTCCTGGCCTCTGTGAGCGCCTCAGCCCGGAGGGGTACTTCCCTGGGGTACTGCAGGAGAGGGAGCAGGTAGATGGCCCTGAGAGGAAGACTTAGAGCCGTGGCCTCCCGCTGGCCGCTGCTCTAGGTCTCCTGAGGGGTTGGGGATTAGACTCCATCCTTGCGGACCCCTTCTGGGGGTGGGGCAAAGGACGAGGGTCTGCAGAGTGAAGAGGAGTCGGGGGACGCGCGGGAAACCGGCTGCAAGGCCTCTCACTTCATTCCAGCCACTGCCCTTTATAAATATTTATAGCGGCTCTTCTACTAAAAATAACATCCTGGAGCCCAGGGAGGAGAGGGGGGAAAAAAAATAAACGAAAGTCCCCAGGAATCGGAGTCGGGCGTCACGTGCCTAAGGCTTGCGCGGGGAGAGGCTGCGTGGGAACGGCGCCCCCGGGCTGGCGCCCCCTGGCGGCCGCCGCGGCAGCAGCGCCCCGCCTTCGGCCCGCGGCCGCGGCTATTTTTAGCGACGCCGCCTCCTTCCCGCGCAGGAAACGCGCGGGCCGGTAAAGGTCAAGGGTGACGCGGCTTGGGGCGCGCACACACACAGAGACACAGACACGCGGGAGCGCTCCGAGCCTTTTCTTGTGTCTTTCCCCCATTTCCTGGCGCCCGGGCGAGCCCCTGCCCCGCGCGCGGCCCCGCGCCGCCCGCAGGCCCCGTGCAGGTGTGCGGCGGGAGGCTGGCAGGAACGCGCCGCCCCGGTGATGTTCGGGGTGTGTGTGTGGGGGGTGAGGGGAAGTCCGCGCCTCCGTCGAGTCGGGGCCCGCGTGGCTCGCGCTCCTCCGTCCTCCGGGCCTGTCACAGAGACAACAGACGGCGCCGTTAACCCCGCGCTGCGCAGGGCACCTGCGGGGACGCCGGAGCCCCTGGGTGCTCCCCACCCGCCCCTCCAAGCCCCCGGGGCCAGGGACGCCGGCAGGCCCCCGCAGGGCTAGTGTGTCCTGACCTCCCCCGTGGCTGCTGACGGCCTAGGCCCAGTCCTGGCCTGGGTGCGCGCAACCGCGCCGGGGAGCAGGGGAGCAGCCTCCCCTCCCGGCAGAGGCTGCAGGGAGGTAGAGGGGCGGGAGCGGGGAGGGATGTCCTGGATAGAAAATGCGGCCCCTGGGGCGTTGGCCCTGACTGCTCTATCCAGAAGTTGCTTTGAGTTTTAGAAGCACTAAATAGGGGGAGAAGGGAAGGGGCGAGGCGGGGGGTGGGGTGGGTGGGGAGCTGGGGAGGTGAAAATCCCACGGCTGCCTCCTTTGACTTTGAAAAAGCTTCTTTTTTTCTGGGTTCGCCCGGAAGCTGCAGTATGATAGAGCCGGGGCTAGAGCGGCTGCAGACCTTGGGAATGAAACCCGGGGAAGGACATTTCCGGGCACAGGTAAGTGCGCAGTGCCTGTGGGAAACGGACCCAGGCAGTGGGCTGACCCCGCGCAGTGGGGCCTGGGACCTGCCGCTGAAGGGGCAGGGGCGATGAAGACCCCGCTCAGACTCACCTCTCTGCGACCCGACTCTTCTGCTAACCTGGATACAGACAACACACAAAGGTCACCGCCAAGGTCTCCCCACCTGTCTTTGCTGCGGGGGGGGGGGTCCCCTGAATATTCCCCTCCCGAATTGCCATGGGAGGTGCAGTGCATGCACAGCCGTCGTCAGCCACACATGGAAACGGAGCAACCTTCAGGCTAGGGAGGTGGGCGCAGACCTCCTGCGGTTCTTCTTGCTCACCCTTAGGCGCCAGAACCAGCTGGGCCCTCTAGAGCCTGTTTGCTCCCTACCCTGGGGGTGGGGAGAGGTTAGCTCTGAAGGGCATGGGAACTAAGCGGGGAGCCTGCAACGACATGGGGCGTCTGCACTCAGGGTGAGTAGGAAGGGCACCCCCAGCAGAGCAGAGCAGAGTTCCAGGACGAGGTGGGCACAAAGGTGGGGCAGAGCAGACTGGGGTCCCAGGCCACCCTGAGTCACACTTGTGTGAAACATGAGTCTTGTGCCAAGACATGGCACTGAATAGCCACGGACACACAACAGGTTCTGACGTACTGCACTGCATGCACCCTGTTGCTGCACTGTGGGTTCTGATGTCCTACTTAGTGCCACATGTTCTGGGCACCGAGTAGAGGGAACAGCATGACCAGAACACACTACATGCTCTCTGCCTTGGGAGCTGATGGGCTGCAGAGATGCAGTTATAGCCCTGGGAGTTCCTGTTCAGATGCTCAGACGCCCCACAGTATTGCTGTCACTGTGTTTAAGTAAGACACGCAAGGATGAGGGTGAAAAGGGTCAGGTGTGGACCCAGACCCAGTCCTTGCCTTGGCCCAGCCACTCCTGTGGGGACCTCAGCTCTTCATGGTCCTAGGTGGTCCTAGGCCTCGCTCCTGGCTTTGAATAGGCCTTGCTTGTCATAGCAGGACTGTCCTTAGCTGACCTCTTTGTCTTGTCTTCTCCCCAGGGAAGCCACAAAACCATTGTGACTCTAGCTCCCCTCTTCATTTTATGAAAACCTATAACTTTAGGATGCCTTTTAGCTGTTGCTTCTTTGTGTCTCCTTTTGTGCTGCAGACACCTGGAGGAGTCATCTTTGGCATGTTTCTGTATCTGGTTCGAGTCCTGCTTCCTAACCCACCCCCTCTATTGCAGCACCAGGAAGCCCCTGTGGATAGAGGAATGGACTGCACCACCTGCTGGGTGGAACCTGACTTCAGACTGGGAGAAAGGGTGGCAGGAAGTGGGTGGGGATGCTAATGACCTTGGAGACAAAGGGTTTGGGGCATGACCCCCAGCCCCCAGGCCGCAGGGGTTCTGCTGGGTTGCCTTTACCTCTGTCTTTCCCATTCTGTATCTTCTCTTCTTCTTCCTCGGCACCTTCCTCTGCTGTGGAAATAAGTTTAGGTTGACCAGAGACCCTTCAGTGCAGGGTGGACGTGGTGACTGGCGAGGCCGGGGGTGCGCTCCAGCTCTGGCTGCACCCACCTCAGCACTGGGGAGCGGGGTCCAGTAGCCCTGAGCGATGGCCAGCAGAGCCATCTGATGGGACCCACTCTGCTGCTGGTGACCAGGGGATGGTGGGCGTGCCAGGCTCATCTCCCTGAGGAGACAGTGTTTCCTAGGGATACTCTTCACATCTTGCATTCAGAGTCCAGAAAGTCACCATACAAGTGCACCGTGTGGGGCCCCGGCGCGGTGGCGCAAGTGGTTAAGGTCCTCGCCTTGCACGCCCGGGATCCCATATGGACGCCGGTTCTAATCCCGGCAGCCCCGCTTCCCATCCAGCTCCCTGCCTGTGGCCTGGGAAAGCAGCAGAGGACGGCCCAAAGCCTTGGGACCCTGCACCCGTGTGGGAGGCCCGGAAGAGGCTCCTGGCTTCAGATCGTCATAGCATCGACCGTTGCGCTCACTTGGGGAGTGAATCATTGGACAGAAGATCTTCCTCTCTGTCTCTCCTCTCTGTATATCTGCCTTTCCAATGAGAAAATAATAAAAAATAAATCTTTAAAAAAAAACAAGTGCACCGTGTGGGAACACCTAGATTAACATCGCTGCCCCGCTGGCGTCCCCTCCCCACCTTAAAAGAAGGAAAAAGGAAAATCTAGTGTTTCAGTCAAGGACCAACTTAAAATGCCAGCACAGCACCACGTGGTGATGTGTGAGAAAGGTGGGGCCGTCTGTGAGAGTTTCTCCAACTTTTGGAGGTGGGGGACCCTGGCGGGAGGCCGCAGGCTGATGTGCTCAGCTGGGGGCAGCAAGAAGGTGCGGTGAGTATGCCAGCCTCCGGGTGCTCACGTGGCACTGGAGCCTGGAAGACTAAGCCAGGTCCTGGCGTGCTCCAGCAGGGAGAGTGAAAACCACGTCCCATCTGGGATGGGGAAGGAGGTGAGGACTGTCTCTTGGAGAGCCCAGTATCTGCCATCCCACACAGGGAAGGCGAAGCTGCCCAGGAAGGGATGGGCATACACTGGTGGGGGGGCTCCCCACTGGGCACACCTACCCCGTGATGCGAATCAGGTGCAGTGATTCCTAGACCCCTTCCCATTTCTTGGATCCCATTGTTTGTGAAAATGTTTTCCCGATGTGGAGACAGGCAGGGTGGACTGGCCTAGGATGTATATAGTCTGTGCAGCCCCTCTCCTGATGGAAGCCCAGGGCTTTGCTGGGGAGGAGGGAGGCAGGTGTTTTGCTGCAGCCAGTGTGGCACAGGAAGGGGGCTTTACTTCTGCATTTTATCAGAACATTGTGCCAGGTGGTCACTTGCTGCGTCCATCTTTAAGGCAACTTCCCACCTGCACTATCCCCCATTCTCCCACTGGAAGAGGTCTCCCAGGGTCCCCATAGATTTTGCTTTGTAGGGGATGGCTATGTGCTGGCCTGCTATTGTGTGTCATGGCATACTTGAGCCTCCTGGGATCAGCACCTGGCCCACTGAATTTGCATAAACCCTGGCAAGCAGCCGCAGGGCACGAGAGAAGTTAACCGCCATGGCCCGAAGCCCCTTGGGAATGGCTTGTAACTGGTGTCTATGAATGGCTGGTATCTGTGTGAGCGACATCAAGGAGTTGTCCCCAAAGGCCCTGTCTCCTTCTGATGTGGTTCAGGGAGGGGCCGGAGACCAGGCCAGGGGAACATAGCAGAGTTAGAGACCCAGCAGCCATCTCAGCCAAGTTGGGTTTAAACCAGCTGGGTCTCACAGTGGAAAGCAGGCTGCCCTGAGGCAGAGCTGTGGGCAGAGCCTGGGGAGCCCCTGCCCTGCAGGTGTAAGACTTGCCCACGCAGTTCCCAAGGCACACGCAGGACCTGCCTTCCCCAGGCTGTCTCTAGTGAGGTGTGCCCAGCATGGTGGAGACTTCCTTAAGCTGCTGCCAGAAGCACACAGCAGGTGGGAGGAGACAGGCAGACTCTGGGCATGTGCGAGTGGGGTGCTGGGGAAAGAGCAGCTGGCTTCCTGGTTGCCATAGGAACCAGCGGTGGTGGGAGGCTGCAAGGCCAGTGCAGCTCCAGGGATTCCAGGGGCGACAGTAGTACCCTCTCTCTCTCCTTGGCTCTGTGTCAGGGAGAGGTCTTGGGTACTGAAGGTGGGGGTGACAGGCCCAGGTCCAGAGCCTCAGGTACCACTGGGGGCTGAGCCATGGACCACAGGAGGGACTGGGGTCTTGATGCCAAATCAAGGAGCATTGGAGGGGAGATGGTGCAGGTGCACAGGGATCTCTGGCTGGGACAACAGCTGAGTTCCTGACCCTCAGAGCACTGGGCTGATTGTGTCACTGTCCCTACCCCAGGCTCATGTGTGGGTGCCACTGGCTACCATGTCCCTAGAAGGCAAAGACTGAGTGGTGAGTGGAATGATGTGGTGTGGGCCGGGCAGTGGCGGTCACTGGGGCATGCATGAGGCTTCACCTGATCGCAGCTCCTTCACCAGGGATGACATGGTGTTGGTGATGGAGTCAGCGGCCACCAGCAAATCACTGCGGAGGTTTCTCCTGGTACCTGAGGGGAGATGCCAGGGTGGTGGGCATGGAGAAGAGAGCTGGAGGCACCTTAGCCCTTCTCCTCACTTGCTCGCTGCTCTGCCTGAGCTTCACAGAGCTGGGTTCCAGGTTGACAGAGCCCCACCCCACTTCTCAAGGTTGCCAAACACTTGCTCCTCACGACCCTGGCAACTGCACCCTCCCTGCGTCCTTCCCATGCTTGCTCCAAAGGCCTTCCCAGCTGGCTATGTGACCTGAGGAAGGATGCTACCCGCTGCCTCCTCAAGGAGGCAGAGTTTGAAGCACAAGTCCTGCACTATCTCCCCATCACAGCAGGTGCACACCTCCCATGGCCAGCAGTGGCCCATCTTAAGGAAAGGGACCAGCAGCTGCCTCATTCCTATCTGAAAATCCAGCATGGTTTAGCTAAGACCTAAACTGCCCAAGCCTTCACTGGGAGTCTGCATCCCAACTTTTCCCAGGTTGCACAGCCCCATGCTGTAGGCACCCACCTTGTGCAAAGGCCTCTTGCACATCTCCCCCGACGCCGCTCAGCGAGTCCTGCGGGCAGTGGGTGGGCGTGGAGCCTGCAGACGTGGAGCGGACAGGCATGGGCATGGAGCGGCCACCTCCGTGCGTGGGTGATGTGTGTGGTGATCCTGTGGCCTGAGCCTAGGAGGGCCAGAGAGTGAGAGAGAACAGGTGAGTTCAGGGATCCGACGTCTCTGATGGGGAATGTGAGGTGCAGCTGCTGTAGGCTTTGGTGCTGTGGAGCAGGTCATGCATGAAAGGCAGCTGTGGGGCTGTATATAGGACAGACAAGAGGAGAAGGAGGAAGGGGGTAAGGGAGTGTGTGTGTGTGCGGGAACATCAGGAGCCCCAACTGAGAATGGGTGGGAAGGGAGAGGACAAACTAAGCTGGGTCTGGGTCGGGCCAAGAGGAGGACGCAGGGCGACCCAGAGGCCCTTTCTGTTTGTAAACTGCGTTTGTTCTCATGTGATCCCCAACAGCCCATGGGCACAAAGGGGCTGCCTTTTCACCTCTATTTAATAGGAGAAAACCAAGAATGAGAGCCAGAATGTCATGCCTGGCTTGCCATCCTGAGAAAGCTGGCACAGCCTCTCCTTGGGGAATCAAGCTGCTGATTCTGGGTGTAGAGAGCCTGGGGCAGGCTGTGTTCCAGGGCTGGGGTCGGTGAGGCCTATCCTGGGGCCCTGGTCAGACATGCACAGTCAGGTCTTTTGTGTACCTATGGTGGAGGCTGGGGAATAGGACACCTGTGAGGCAGAGGTCAAGTTTTCCTGGTGAGAGCTGGGGACAGAGTCAGAGTTGGAGCTGATGAGACAAAGCCGGACGGAGGCAGCTCACAAGGGTCGGGGCTTCTCCTGGGAGTAGGGGATGCTGGGTGTGGCACCAAGATGGGGTTTTTCTGCAGAAGCAAAACTGGGCAGATGCAAGCTGCGGTGGGAGGAGGCCTGCGTGTGGAGAGAATCATGCTGGCAGGGACGCAGCTGGGAAGCCCCAGGTAGACAAGCTCTGTCTTTACTGGGTGGGCAGCGGAGGCACCCAGGATCCTTGGTGCAGAGCCCTGGCTGGGGGGAGCTGACTTCTACAGCAGCATGCCCTGTTCTGGTGTGGGTCTGTGCCAGCTCTATGAGTGTGCAGGAACTAGAAGATGTGGAAAACCAGAAAGTGTCACAAAAACCTGCTCCCAATGGAAGCCGAGATCCTGTGTTAAACTGATTTCAACTGCAAGTGTTGCAGGTAACTTGGAGGATTCCTGTGGCCACAGATTCTTCCCACATTCAACTCTCTTTTCTTACCCCTTCTGAGGCAGCCATTGCCCAAGATCTGGGTGTGAAACTTCTCACCCAAGTGCATCTACCCAGCTACACATTTTACGCTGTTGTGCATGAATTGTCTTATCCTGCAAGCACCGGTTTGCAATTTGCTTTTGTCACTTAGCATCCTTACTGGGCTCTGTCCATTCAAAATGAATCAAAGTAACAATAAAGGCTACTGGGGCGGGGGCTGGTCCAGTGGGGTTATTGAGGGTCACTCTGGGCTGGGCCACAGAACCCACTGGTTTGCTGAAGATGGAGGGTAGAACAGACTAATCAACTATCCCAGCAAAGCTTGACAGCAAACTTCTGGGCAAACGGAATCTCGAAGGTGGACTATGACAGCCAATCGACCTTGGAAGGATGTCCTCATTCTTAGAGTGGTAATATCAGCAGCACCTCAGGACTATGGGAACAACATGAGCGGAACCCTCAGAACATGCTCCACAGTGGGGACCCTGGGATGACGTCAGGTGGCAGTTCCCCATCCCCAGGTACTGGGGCGGTTGGGAGGCTGGGCGTGGTATCCTCCTCTCCCCCATACACGGGAAGAAGAAAAAGAAAATGTGTGAACAAAGGTCTTATCCACTATCCCCTGATCTTCGACCCTTCTCACTCTAAGAACTATGTAAACATCATCAATAAATTCCAAAAACAACAATAAAGGCTACAACTGTTAACATTTATCAAGGAAAGCATAAAAAAATTTAAAAATATGGCTGAAGTAAGTTTCTTAGATATGACACCCAAACAATGGTATGTCAAACACAATGAATGCCATCAAAATGAAAATCTTTTGTTCTTCAAAAAGCATCATTAAAAACTGAATGTAGCACAAAAGTGCCAACCATATGAACTCCACAGGAGAACCCTGGAGAAGCCTCACGGTCTTGGCTAGGAAAAGCCACAGAATAGACTTTTGTGTCTCAGAGGTCAACATTAGGAAGCTGAAGCCAAACCACAGGCAGGCAGAAACCTTTGGCATGTGATGTGTTTGATAACGGATCTGAATGTGAAACGCTTCCAGCTCAGTAGCAACAGGCCAAATAACCCTATTTTAAAATGGGCAAAGAATCTGAACAGCATTGCTCCTGAGATACAGTGTTCCCAATGAGCGCATGAGAACATGCTTGGCATTACCAGACTTCAGGGAATTCAAATCAGAACCACACTGTGTCCACTAGGATTACTATAATAAAAGGGGACGGATGACAAGGGCTGACCAGACTGTGGGGCTGTAGGGACCACCAGGCAGAGCTGAGAGGGTTGGAGAACACAACAAATAGCTGCTTTGGAAAGTTGCTCAACAGGTTAAATATATTTTTTTAAGGAATGTATTTCAGATTCTTTTAAAAAAAGATTTATTTATTTTTATTGCAAAGTCAGATTTACAGAGAGGAGGAGAGGCAGAGAGGAAGATCTTCCGTCTGATGATTCACTCCCCAAGTGACTGCAACGGGCAGTGCTGCACCGATTTGAAGCCAGGAACTTCTTCCAGGCATCCCACACGGGTGCAGGGTCCCAAAGCTTTGGGTTGTCCTCAACTGCTTTCCCAGGCCACAAGGAGGGAGCTGGATGGAAAGTGGAGCTGCTGGGATTAGAACTGGCACCCATATGGGATCCCGGCACGTTCAAGGCAAGGACTTTAACCACTAGGCCACCGAACCAGGCCCTCAACAGGCTAAATATTGAGTGCCGTGAGACCCAGCAATTCCAATCCTAGACATATACCTGAGAGAGATGCCAACATGTCCATACAATAGCCTATAGCAAACATTCATAGCACCATTACCCAACATAAGCCCAAAGGGGCCAGTGCTGTGGTGCAGTAAATAAAGCTGCTGCCTGCAAAGCCAGCATCCCACATGGGAGCTGGTCTGGTCCTGGCTGCTCTATTTCCAATCCAGCTCCTTGCCACTGGCCTGGAAAAAGCAGTGGAAGATGATACATGTGTTTGGGCCTTTGCCACCCAGAAGGGAGACTCAAAGGAAGCCCCTGGCTCCCAGCTTTTGCCTAGCTCAGCCTCACCATTGTGAGGAGTGAATCAGCAGATGGAAAATCTCTTGCTTCTCCCTCTCTGTATCTCTTTACTTCCAAATCAATCAATCAATCAAGTTTTAGGAAAAAATCTAGGCAAAAAGCAGAAACAACTCAATAAAAGATTTAAAAACAACAGTATATTTACACAATTAAGTGTTTTTCAGCAATAAAGAGAGTAGTGTGAGTATTATAAGATCGATTAACCTTGAAAACATTTTACTAAGTGAAAGCAATCAGTCACAAAGATCATATAGTCTATGATTGATAGGGTTAATTGTTAAGGTGAATATATTCCTAGAACTCTGGAATCTCCTAAGAAAAACCCGCATCCACCATGGGAAAAATCCTGTTTTCTGAAAGACCAGGAAGCAAAAAGGAGATAGGAATGATCCTAGGGTTTCTAGAATTCCCAGATAGGACAGTTACCTTCGAGGCATGCTGTTTTACTGACTAGATTGAAGTGATAGGATTGGAATCCTGAGCTTTTGCTTGTAAATCTTTATTGAAGCAATTGGATCAGAATCTTAACCATTGTAAATTTTTACTTGCTCTATGTCACAAAATAACTCCCCATTATGTATTTACCTGATATCATGTAGGTATTGATTTTCCCATAGATACTTGTTATAAAAACCCCACACTTAATTTTGTTCAAGGTGCTTCTTGCTCATGACAAGAGGTTGCCCCCAGACTGGAAATTAAAATCATTTCACTCAGGACGGGTGCAATAGTTTAGTGATTAAATTCCTTGCCTTTAATGTACTGGGATCCCATATGGGCACTAGTTTTAATCCTGGTGGCTCCACTTCCCATCCAGCTCCCTCCTTGTGGCCTGGGAAAGCAGTTGAGGATGGCCCAAAGCCTTGGGACCCTGCACCCGTGTAGGAGACCCGGAAGAAGCTCCTGGCTCCTAGCTTCGGATTGGCTCAGCTCCAGCCACTGAGGCCACTTGGGGAGTGAATCATCAGACGGAAGATCTTCCTCTCTGTCTCTCCTCCTCTTTGTATATCTGACTTTGCAATAAAAATAAATAAATCTTAAAAAAAATCTTTTCATTCACCATGGACACAAAATTAAAATCATTTCACTTGCCTTAGAGTTTTATTCGATTTTACTGAACCCAACAATGATGCTACTTCCATGAACTGTCTACAACTAACAAGCAAATCTACAGTGACAGAGGCTAGACTAGTGGTTGTCCGGGGAAGGAGTAACAACGCGTGCTAATGGGTATGCGGTTTCATTAAGGGGGTGATGATGTGCTCTAAAATTGTGGTGATGGTTCTTGTAGAACTCCATGATTACATTAAAAACCACTGCATTTCATGCTGTAAAACAGCAAACTGTATGGCATGTGAATTATATCCCTATGAAATTACTATTAAAACCATGCCATTAAAAAAACAAAGATAAGCCCTGGGCTGGGAAAAGTATTTGCAAATTAATAATTTGCATCCAAAACACATGAGTAACTCTTCTAACTCAATAATAAGACAAATAAGCCAACTGAGAAATGGACAAAGGTTTTGAATAGATGTGTCACTAAGATGATGCACCCACATGGGAAACCTGAAAGAGCTTCTGGCTTCAGATTGGCACAGCACTGGCCACTGAAGCTGCTTGGGGAGTGAATCATTGGACCAAAGAGCGTCCTTTGTCTCTCCTCTCTGAATATCTGACTTTCTAATAAAAACCAAAATCTAAAAAAAAAAAAAAAAAGAAAAAGCAAGATAGCCCCTCCTTCTCCTGACAGTTCACTCCCCAACATTGACTGGGGCTGCTCCAGGGCC